AAAGAAAAGAAAAAGAAAGAAAAGAAAAAGAAAGAAAAGAAAAAGAAAGAAAAGAAAAAGAAAGAAAAGAAAAAGAAAGAAAAGAAATGAGTGAAGTGAGTGAAGTGGTAAATATGTACAGTCTCTTTCCCAAGATGGGGAAAGAGACTTGGTATGAGGGTGTCTTGTCTATATATATGTGTATGTTTCTGTCTCTGAGGTCTGTGCTTCTTAGCACTGGCTTGTGTGGCATGTCATTGCATTGTTGAGAAGGGTAGTTGTTTTAACCATGAGCTACTGTGTTTATTCTGCTTTGTTTGTTGATTGAACTCCAACAAACATCAACATCATTATGAGCAAACATTGGGAGGACTTCCTTTCTCTTTCCAAACCTGAGGAAAGAGAAAGTAGGCAACTTGCTAGACTACACAGGCATATAAATTGTTGGTATGTTTGCTCTGAAAAATATCTTTGTTTGTATTTCCCTTTTTGGCTTCATTTCACATCTCTATGTTGTCTATGCCAATCTCCCTTTTTCATTGTTTTCTTGGAGCTCATACCCCATCTGGCATGTAACTCTCACTGTCTGTAGCTGTTTAGGATATATAGCCCTCCAGTTGGCTGCTTGTAAGAAAACCATCAGTGTTGAATTTCTTGCTCTCACCTCTTCATTGAGGTTCTCCAGATTCTCAGTTCCCTACCATCTGACATAAATCAGGGTGATACTGTTTGATTGTGGCTGTTGCTTCCACATATTGTGGTTGCTACATGGTCTCCTTCAGGATGAACTAATTGTTACTGTTTCATGAGTTGTGTTGTTATGTTTGATATTTCTCCTTTCTGTTTCTTACACTGTATGTCTCTTTCTTTACCTGGGTACAAACCTAACATGATGATATGCAGGAGTTCTCCAAGTTGTATATCTGTCAAGTCAGCCACTGAATCCAAATAGTCCTTTCCTCACTACTTTAGACTATTTGGATTCAACTTATGATTGTGAAGATGAATTGCTCATTGCATCTTCTCTGGATGACTCACACTAATAACAAGGGGCAAGCCACTAGCTGTTACAATTAACAAGGCTGGAGCATCTGTAACAGTCTTTGTGTTGATTGAATCTCAACATGTATTCTTATATGGCAAATTTCAAGTCAAGAGTACAGGTCCTGAATGACTATTACCCCTGGAGAGGGTAATAAATACAAAAATGCTGATTCACTAAGCTGCATGGCCCTGGAAAATAATGGAAAAAAATCCAGCATGGGATCCAGAAGATTATCAGATAGACTTACCAATAATGAGTCCATTATAGTGGTGTAATGTTATCAGTACTGTATGTGAATTATATGTACTCTGTCAGTAATGAGACAATCTGGTTTTCTCAGATTGTGCCATGGCTGACAGTAGTATTCTGAACCACCTTAGCACCACCCCCAATATCACTATGTGAGTCTGAGAAGCAGGATTGCAATTGGACAGAAGATATTGCAAAACCTTGGACATTCATATTCAAGGGTCA